CCACACTCTGCCATTATGGAGTTTAAATACAGGGGCAGGTCCAGGAAATAAGATGCATCAGAATAAAAGAACCAGGGTATTTGCCATCAGTATAAACCAAGTAAGAGACATATCAAACATCACAAGAAATCTTTAAAATAATGAAACATCTTGCGGACTCAGGGAGCAAAAACATCTCATATCTTGTGCAGTGCCTAAAATGATTTGCAGAATAACTTAATAAATTGTCATAGGCGTAAGCAGAGGACCAGGAAGATATTTCTTTGCTGACTTTCGAAATGAAACAGAATCAGTGCCACAGGAAGGCTTTTCCAGAGTACACTGCTCAGAAGTTTCTCACACCAAGAAGGCCATGACTGCAAGCAAGGACCTTGAGGAGGTCTGAGTATTGTAAGTGGATACAGTCAAAAGGTTTAACTTGAGAAATGTTTTGTACAACACTTTGTATATGCCTTATGTACACGGAGGAACAAGTCTTAACTCAAGGCAGGCAGTGACTTCCCAAGGACTTGGGCTTAAACTATCCAAGCTGGCTCAGTCTAGGGTGTACTGAGTCACGCTGGCTTTTCCATCGCACATTGGTACCTAATTTGCATGAATTCCAAGGGGGAAAAAATTGACAGAAGAAACCAATAAAGAGATCTTCCCATTTGCTTTCTTTGCAAAGTTGTCAGCTTTCTGCCTCTGTTTTGCTTTTTAGACCTATTTTCCATTTGTGGTTTTCAACTGAATATCAGTGTAATCAAGTACGATCAATGATGAAGATGAGAGGTCTTGTGCTTGATGATGTAATTGACTGGTTTGACCCTGGGGTTCCAGACTGGTGTCTGCATCATGAAAAATTCCCTTCCATTGTCAGCTGTTTGTGGAAATATCAAGGGGGAGCAACAGAACAGGAAAGGACCACCCAAGGAAAATGAAAGCCGACAGGGCAATCCTGTGATATATTTGCAAGGACATCCTGAGAGCGTTGTCCAGTCTGGTGCCTGGTGATTTTTCCAAAACAAGCATACAGAAAATTCTTTCTGATATGTTCACAGCTTACCTTTCTGGTTTAGGCTGCTTCCAAACCCTCCTGTTCTTGGGAGAGAGTCAGATCCAACTCTGAACACTCTGGCATGGCCCTATTCCTAATTTTAACCTCTAGTCATCTAGGCTGCACAAATTTAGGGAAAGGGAAGTGAAGAGGATTTCCCTCTCCCAGCATGTCACTGTCAATTGACCCCAGAGGCAATTCAGATTTACTGTTCTTGTTTGACAGCTAATGGGAAAGGAATTGGCTCCGTAGCAGCAATTCAGAGATAGGAAGATGCAGTGCCTGAGCCATATGGCCAATGGTCACAGACAGAAATACTTTCCTCACTATTTTGTAGGTCAATTACAGCACCTTAGACCTTAAACAACCACATGGTGACTGACTTTCAGATGCTCATCTGGAGCCTTGCCTTTCATCTTTCTCCACTGTTCATTTATTCCTCTCTCTACTCTCTTTCACATCACTGGAAGTGTTTCTCTTTCTCCTCTTGCTTTGATTCAGCCAGGACCTGAAAACTCAAGACAGAAATCATTCATCAGAGTTCTCTGGCTTGTATTACACAGAAAGTGAAGCAAACCATCCCATGGTCTCTGCCTTTAAAATTAAAATCACTTCAAATTAAATTGGTAATAGTAATGCTAAGCTAGACATTTGGCATATGTTTATTTCAGGATATGTACGTTTGTGATTCCCGTTAGTCAGTGTTCAGGATTAACTCAGTTTCCAAACTTGCACTGACAACAGTGTCTGTTATTTTAAAGGCAATCACTTAATTCAGTTTAGAACAAAAGTAGAAATTCTTGTCCATTTTATTTCATATGTATTAATTTACTCATGCAAACCCTGGAAACAGGGGAGCATTGGACAAGCACATCACTTTTTACACTAAATGCTGGCTCTTACATCAGTTGGATAAAGCTTCCTAGCTAGTAAGGAAATTTTGGGGACTTTTGCCCTAGTCTACAGGATTTGCAGTCAAGAGAAGCCACCAGTGCCTCTAACCAAAACAAAATTCAATTTAAAAAAGTATAAA